CACTTCTGGGAGTTGAAGGGTTAAATGCATATTATGATATAAAAATACTATAATAGCTTATTAATAAAAGTAGGTAATTACAAACTTTTCAAGGGTTAAAAGTCAAATCCTGCCATCATCAATTGTTGGTTACAGATCAATCCTAAAGACAGCTGTAGTTAGAATTCTTCTGGATGGTTGATTCCTCAGATCCAAGGGCAAATAATCTGACAAGATGAAGATGAAACTCTGTTCTCAGCTGGATACAAAAGTTTCTGAAGTACAGGCCAACTTTCATATCCAGCCAAACACCTGTTTTATCTTTATCTTGACAGATTTTTATCCCCTGGGTCTCTGAGTACATGTAAAGTTCCATTGAAATAAATTATTTTTTTTAACATGTGGATGCTTCGTTATTGTTAGGTCATCAAATCAGTCAAATAAACCTGTGAAGCTTCCTGTTACTCCATCAACTGCAACTCTCACAAAAACACAGAAAAACAAGACCAAGAATAAAAAGAAACCAGTTGAACAAAAAACAACTAAACAGTCTGTGTCTCCTGCCAAGAATACCAGCATACCTGCCCCCTCTAGCTCACAGGTAACAGGTTTTGCTTGTGGCCTGAGGTACATTATCATTTGGTGAAATTATATTCTGGTTTAAACAGTCAGACTATGAGTATGCTGTCAAAATTTTCAAGCTCAGTTTGTCACTCTAGTTGCTAGATTTCAGGGAAAAATAAAAAAAATTAATTTGTGCTTCAAGAATATTTCTGTGTCGAATTCACAGCATAAAGTTATTTTTACTTAATTTTTTTGCTTGATTTTTGGTGATTATTTTTCACTTGGTTGTCAGACTAAAATGGGAAAAATCAACTGCTTGTGACACAACTGTTGTGAGTAGTGTAATGTTGGTTAGATTTTATTGCCAGTTCATGTAGTTGGTTGCTGCATGGTGTTCAAGGTTTTTGTTAATTTGAATTATTTTATATTAATGTAGACTTGTTTAATACATCCAATGAACACCTGTGTCTGTTATGTAATTGTTGGATATTAAATTGTTTGATTGCATTTGAGAGGTCATTTACCCTTAAACTTTAAGTGTGACTAGTATATAATTGCTCTTTATTTAATAATATCACCCCTGAATCACACATTAATGTCACAAGATGGATGGAAAAGATCACCAACATAAGAAGCTCCTGATTGTTAAGCAAATTCTCCTTGTCAGCACCTTAGGGAATGTGTCGAGAATAGTATGGAGAATATGCATACTGATGTTTGGATGTAAAGGGTCAATGTTCTTTTTTTCTTTTAATTGTTTCTTTTATATTTATCTTTTCTTGCAATGCTATTTATTTAATTTTTAATTAGTTTTTGTTTTGTTTTTTTCTGGTCATTTTGCTAAGGAGGTGAATACCATACCAGAAGAAGTACCAGTACCAGCTGAAACAGAATCTGGTTCTTCGTCTTCCAGTGATAGTTCAGATGTGGAAAAAGATGGAAATGAGGATGATGATGAGTTTGATGACAAAGATGTTGAAAAACTGAACAGTCTTGTCACCAGTGTAAGTTTGATACTCTTGTTCATCAAATATTCATTGTTGAAATATAATATTGAAGTAAATGATTGTTATATTCTTGGAAGAATATTGTATTTCAGGTTTTATCTTTCTTACCTCTTATCCTGGGGGCATGGTTTCCTTAATTTTTTTTTTCCGTACTTTACATGTCTGTATTCATTTATTCATGCAATTTTCATGCTTGTTTATTCATTTGTTTTTGCATCATTTGATCCGGCGTAGACTTTTTTGGTTTGCTCTTTTGTTTGATAATAGCTCAGATTATGATTAGTTAAAGTTTAGTTTTGAATTTATCATGAATTAAACAATTATTAATAGGCCATCTAAAATAAGTCATGAGTCATGAACCTTCCATTTTCTCTTGCAATCTTCCTCAACTAGATGGATGAAAAAGAGTTTGCAACAAAGAAGGAAGGTTTTAACACACTCTGTAAGTACTTTCAAATTATTTTTATTGCATGATCAAGTGATCCTTTTTTTAAGCTCGCATAGGGACTGAGGTACAGGTACTGAGGTACAGGTACTGGCATGCATTTTACTTATTTGCTATTTTTATTTGATTTGATGTATTTTTCTCTATTGGTTATTTATTTATTTTGTTCTTTTTTGGGATATTTTTGGTGGAAAGGGTTGGAAAGGGGAAGCACAAAACAATGGATTTATTACATTACAACAGCATGACCAACACAATGAAACAACATGAATGAGACATGAAACTTGTGGTGTAATGATTCACATTCCTTGCAATTCAATTCAATTTTGATTATTGCCTTTTGATTTCAATTATTACAATTCGATTATGCAAAATCCTAATTTTTATTTAATTCTTATAACATGATACACAATGTTAACAACATACAACCGTATACCTTTAATATGAAGATACACCGTACAAACTTGAGGTAACCTAATCACACTGAAACAATTATTGTAATGGTAAGCGGGGGATGTTAAATAACCCATGCACTTCTCGTAAAGAGTAGTGAATGTAGCTCCTGGTGTTGTGGTCTGATCATTTTTCCAAAGTTTGCAAATTGGGTGCATCTCCAAAATTTCTTGTCAAAAGAAATGTAAACTGCTCAATGCAGTCTGGCTTGGGTCCCCTGTAAAGTGTTGTAAAGTGCATTAGAGCTTATCGATATTGAGAGTGTGCCACTTAAATACATCATCATCATTATTATCATTCTAATTTTTTATCTGTTTTTAATAATCACAATCATGATATTAGGAGCAGGCATTTCATTTGTTCAGTGATATGTTACACGATATGCAGCAGGTGTAACAAAGTCGGAAACATATAGAAAAGCCTGCTTGGAATTAAACTAACAAATTACAAAAAAAGTTCTTTTTTTCTGACTTTGTCTACTATCTTCTTACTATTTGGTGTATATTTTCTTGAGTTATTATCAAGACTTTGCAAAATGTAAAATAAGTTCTGCTAGCCTGTGAGTAGACCCACCTTTTAAGTGCTTCGGCGCAGCGTTTCTTTACCCGCAGGAAAGGACGAGGCCTTGGAGAACCACTTGAAGGCCTCGGTTCTGCAGAATTTAAAACTAACTTTGATGCAAAACGTCACTTCTGCATCTGACGATAAGGAAAGCAATCTGGGTGTGGAGTTAAACATCGCATGCCACGCCCTACTCTCTCCTCAACGTCGAATTCCAGATTCACCATTGAATTGGAAGATCTCTCTTGCCCCACCTTGAATAAATCTTAAGTTTTCAATAAGTTTTCTTGAGGTGTTCCTAAAATTGTCCTAAAAGTGTTATCTGTAGTTTTTCCTCTTAAACTCTCATTTTACAACACTACAGTAAAAAATATTTTCTCCCTGCTCTCATCCATTTTTATGGGTTCGATTTGTTTGCTCCAAAAAAACAAACAAACAAACAATATAAACAACAAACCACATGAAATAAAATTAATCAATCGTGTGAATAGTAGCCGTTTCGTCTCGTTCGTCATCAATGATATCAGAACTTATGAGCCCTCTTTGTTCCATTGCTTTGAAAACCTTTAATCCGGTCCAAGCATCCAGAGCAGCGTATTCGATCTGCTCCAAGGTCAGCGGAAAGTTTTCCCAGTTGCTTCTTGCCACCCGCTTACTCTTTGTAAGTGTGATACCAAGGAAACGTTCCGCCAATGCCTTTAATCCTACTTTTTGCGTAGATGAGGAATGAGACTTTGCCACGTCTTGTGTATCGACGATTCCATGGCACACCAAGTCTAGATCTCTTCTGAGCTTAGACATATCTTGCTTTATACCACTACCGACTTTCAAGACTGTGGCGTCTGTTAGAACTGAGACAAGCAGATCTGGCAATTTACTCATGTGATGAAGGTGCAGCACTAAGCAGGATGTGTCAACTCCCAGTTGAAGAACGGCAGTCTTGTTCTCGGTGCCTCCACGTTTCTTGGGTACGGACTGAGGCTTCCACTCTATGTCGAAGCCAACGGCTGAAGCCGAACAATCTGTGATGTTTTTTTTTTCAACCATGTATCAGCTTCGTGTACGTTTTTTGTGTAAACAACCCCGACAGCTTTGGCAGGTTGTGTTAGCTCATGTTTTGTTGTTTCCTCGGTCACACGAGAGAAATGGTTGTTTAATGGATCACGAAGATGACGATGCCTTGTTTGTGTAGTCATACCAAGGTCCTTGCTATCCGCCATGATGGTGGCCAAGCAACTATTTACAAATGCCCTTGTAGTAAAGTGAAAGACAGGTGCCCCTAGTTCTTCAACAATTTTTTTATGACACGTTGTCTGAGCAGGTGGAAGGCTCAGTTTACAAAGGAGTCGCGTGTTGTGGTGAATAGAGTTGTGTTGAATGTGAATAGAGGTCGTTAGAAACTTTTGGAAGCAAACTGCGGCTTAACGTCGGTTTCACTTGGAAAATTGAGTTGGTAGAGAATTGAAATGAAACTGCAGTATAAGTGCTTGGATTCTGCGTTGGATTTGTGGCCGCCCGGTCATTTTGAGCTTAGATTTTTCGCTTCTCGGATCGTGCGGCCTCTGGCTTCTCTTACGAGTAGTAAACCTAGAAATGGATAACTCGCTAAAATGGGTTCTTTTTAACATAGTAAGTGGTCAGATAACTAGTGATACACTGTAGAAGTAAGGTGAGATCTTTTTAACGAGAATTTGACAGTATATTTTTATTGTTAACCCTTTAACTACCAGAGGTGATTAACATGTAACTTCTCCCAATAGTACCCACGCGTTATTCAGCAAACAGGTGGTGAGATTATTCAAACTTATCGGGTACAAGATTTGATCTTGCTTGAAAGCCAAATTCTCGCAATCAATTCACAAGGAAATGTGTAGCAGCTAGAGGAGAGAATTAACAATCAGATCTTGGAAGTTAAAGGATTAAGAGTGGTTGTAAATGTTCCCCGCATACAAACTCCTATAATTTCGCCATGACTCCTATTCCACAAGATGATCATCTCACAGCTGGAGCCTAGGCTGCCTGTGGGTGAAAGTGTGAAAGTAGGAGTGGTTCTTTGGGTAGTTTTCGGCTCTGGCGGCAGAAGTGATCACTACAAAGAGATTGGATATTATTGAATACCATCAGTTATAAAAAATAAGTCTGCCTTCGAAGAGGAGACAACAACAACAGAGAGGAAAGAAAAGTGGATACAAGCGACGAGTAAAAGTGATGCCTAGGCAAAATGAGGTTCTCAAGAGCAAACAGGTATGCTGCGAGCATTTTGTCTCTAGAAAGCCATCTCCTTACTGGCACAAGCATGATGTAGATTGGGTGCCAACTTTAGAGCCCGGAAAGAAAAGTTATGGCCGTGAGGTAGACTAAAGCAAAAGCAAAGAAGCAAGAAAGAGCAAAGAAAAGAGAGAAACATGCTATTGAGCACCAGGAACGTGAATAGCTAAGTACCAAGTACCTCCACAGAAGAGGGAAAAACTGTAGAAGAAGGAAATAAACATTCCATTTCTGATGATCTTACGGCATGTGATGAAGGCAGTGAAAGGACTGGGCAATGTTTTGTGAAATGCTGTACGACTTTCAGACGCGCCAATTCTGCCAGCACGATGTCTAAAAAATCTCGACCCACTAGTTTGATCCCTAATGTTGAGTATTACTTTGTTTATGTTTTCATCAGAATTATCCCATGTCAATTCAATACATTTTCATAGTAGTTTTGGATAATCAAGATCAACATTTCCCGCATAAAATAGGTCGGTAACAATCGGCAGTGAGTGGCTTTCATCGATAAACTGGTCAGCATAGAGATCGATAAAGCTAAGAGCAGCAGCTTTAATTTTCTAGGTATTTAGCTTCGCGTACACAGCCTGCATTTCTTCTTCTGATGGAGACGCGACGGGCGAAGTTTGATCGCCTTTTCCGCTGAGCTTTTCTGCTGTTCCCCGAATTTGGGTGTAGTGAGTCGATTCTTTGGTCCAGTGTCTTTTTAAGCTTTTTCGCGGACGAAAAGTCGATATCCTTCACCTTCGAGTGCGGTACTTCTGTAACATAAGTTGGGAGAATCCACGTGCAGTTGGTTTGAGTACATGCGAGTTTCTCTTGGATTCTTGTCCCTGCTTCGATAAAGAATAGTACACCCATTACGTCTGAGCGGGATTCAGCAAGGCCTGCCTTGCAGCTTAGACGGGATTTCGAATCCCGGACAGGCCTGAATCTTTTCAGGCCTTATTTTCACTACTGCTCAAGTAGTGTTCATTACTGGGAAGATCGCTTTCATATTCACATGTTTATTTGCTTGAAATTTCACGGCTGAGATGGGCACCAACATGGCGGCCCTTAATTTGCATAAATGTATGACGTCAGCTGCATACGAGAATATGCACTCGTATCTTTGCGGAAATTCCCATCAACGTTTTGCGTCCCAACTCCATGAAGTTGAGGGAACTGGCGTTAAAACGCGAAATGTGGTACGAAGCTTAGATCTGTGCAAATAAGTTGTTTCGGTTCTCCGTTTTGACAGAGCGATCCGTTTGATTCGCTCTTGATGGGTATCGAAGTTGTCCGGAGTTGGCCGCTTCCTCGCTCGCCTTAAAAAATACGAAGAAGACATTGCTGGTAGGCAGATTCAGTGATCGACTCAGATCTCAGATGCAGTTTTTTTGCCGGATAAGGTGAGGATGACTCTTCTCTAGGCGCGGAATCTATTCAAAATGTTGCTTTAGCGAGCAATATTCATACAACAGAACGGTACTCTCGGAAGCTAGTTTGCGAGACTTGACTCCTCCTTCGAAATTCGGACGTGATGTACAACAGGCGATTTTCATAAATATTCGACTAAGACACTGGTGTATGCTTATTATCTGAGTCGAAGGGGAATACTTAGTTGAAGAGGACGCTGTTTTCTTCTGATTGGTCGAGAGCATGTAGTCAATTTGTGAAAGGGGCTCCGAGTCACTCAACTCAGAAAATGTAGTTTTCACCTTAAACACGCGATTTTTCATACAAAGAACTGATTTTTACAGTTCACCTTTGGAGTGACTAAAACATTATCAAGTTCAGGCACAAACCGCTTCGATTGTCTACGATGTGATGCAAAACAAGAAACGTAGGAGCGGTTAAAGTTTATTGACAGACTGATTAAATTCAACTATCTTATGTAAACAGTGGCAGCTCGATCGATCAGTAACACTTGAACTGACGAAAATGAGCATGTGCTTTTCAGAGATAAAATAAAGCTCGTTTAATTCACTGCCTCACATCTTTATTTTCTATCAGTCAAAAAACACTTCTCTCTCAAAATGTGTTCTGAAGTATTTTGTTCAGAGGTAAAATACTGATCTTGGTTTATTATCATATGCAAGTTCACATATGATCGGCGCGTTACAAATGCGAATTTTATTGAGCGCCGTAACTCTAGGAAACCATGGATTTATTACATTACAACAGCATGACCAACAAAATGAAAAACTTGAATAAGACATGAAACTTGTGGTGTAATAATCCATATTCCTTGCGATTCGATTCAATTTCGATTATTGCCTTTCGATTTCGACTATTTCAATTCGATTGTTCAAAATATTAATGTTCTTATAATTCTTACAACAGGATACGCAGTGAAATAAGCATACGACCCTTAACTCTTAATTTGAGGATACACTGTACAATACTGATGTAACTTAATCACACTGAAACAGTTATTGTTATGGGAAGAACGGGATGTTAAAGAAAGCTAACTTTGCAAAGCATCACTTCAGCATCTGAAGATAAGAAACACAAAATGAACGACATGTCGAAACAGTCACCGTGCTCTATGGGTCACAAGTCTTTTTTGAGTGGTTTATGTTGTCTTTTTCTGCTCGTGTGCATGGTAGACTTTTTGCTTCATCAATAATGTCAGAACTTATGAGCTCTTACTTTGCTCAATTGCGTTGAAGACTTTTAATCCGATCCAAGCATCCAGAGCAGCGTATTCGATCTGCTTCAAGGTCAGCGGGAAGTTTTCCCAGTTGCTTGTTGACACCCGCTTGCTCTTCGTGAGTGTGATACCAAGGAAACGTTCCGCCAATGCCTTTAATCCTACTTTTTGCGTAGATGAGGGATCGAGAGACTTTGCCACGTCTTGTGTATCGACGATTCCATGGCACACCAAGCCTCGATCTCTTCTGAGCTTAGACATATCTTGCTTTATACCACTACCGACTTTCAAGACTGTGGCGTCTTTTAGAATTGAGACAAGCAGATTTGGCAATTTACTCATGTGATGAATGTGTAGGACTAGGCAGGATGTGTCGACTCCCAGTTGAAGAACTGCAGTCTTGTTCTCGGTGCCTCCACGCTTCTTGCTTACGAACTGAGGCTTCCACTCGATGTCGAAGCCAACGGCTGAAGCTGAACAATCTGTGATGTGTTTTCTCAACCAGGTCTCAGCTTCGAATACGTTTTTTGTGTAAATAATCTCGACTCCTTCAGCTACGGCAGGTTGTGTAAGCTTATGTTTTGTTGTTTCTTTTGTCATGCGAGAGAACTGCTTGTTGGATGGATCAGAAGGATGTGTTCTTTTTGCGGCAGCTTTGTAGCCTGCGCGCTTCGGTGTGAGATATCGGTGTGCGGGCGGCTGTGCACGCGCTTGGTGTGGCTGGTTTCTTCCAGTATGTGACGATTCCCTGTTTGTGTAGTCATACGAAGGACTTTTTCCTTGTATTTGGTATCTATCTCCATCGTGTGCCTGCATTGATCTTGAAAATTCCATGTAATATGCACTTGTATCTCTGCGCGGAAATTCCGATTGACTTTCTGTGTCCCAACTCCATGATGTTGAGGGAACTGGCGTTAAAACTCGAGATGTTGTATTGGGCTTACATCTGTGCGAATAAGTTGGTTTGTTTGTCCGTGTTGATGGAGCGATCCTTTTGATTTCCTCTTGGTGGGTATCGAAGTTCTCCGGAGCTGGCCGTTTCCTCGCTCGCCTCAAAAAATTTGATGAAGACATTGCTGACAAGCAGATAAAGCGATGGCCTCTGATCTCAGATGCAGTTTTTTGCCGGATAAGGTGAGGATTAGTCTTCTCCAGGCGCAGAATCTATTCGAAATGTTGCTTTAACGAGACCAATATTTGTACAGTGGAACGGTATTCTAGGAAGCTAGTCTGTGAAACTTGACACGTCTTTCGAACCCGTTTCAATATTCTTTTTCTTTCTGCCTTGTGACAGTCCACGTGATGTACATCAGGCGATTTTCATAAATATCTGTCACAGACACTGGTGTTTGCTTATTATCTGAATCGAAAGGGAGCACTTATCTGAAAAGTCTGAAGAAGGTGTTAATTTTTTGTTTTTTCCAGTTGTTTCTTTTCTTTTTTTTTTTAGTGAAGTATTCCAAATATTATTGATAAGATAATTGCTTTGACCCTTTACCCCCCAAGACTTGATCGTTAATTCTCTCCTCTAGCTGTTCAATATTTTCTTCTAAACAAGTTACAAGAATTTAATATTAGATCAAGTTGACAGCTTATGCTTGACAAGTTTGAGTATGCGTATCACTTGTTTACCGGATAGTGTATGGATATTGTAGGGAGACGTTACATTTTAATCACTTCTGGGAGTTAAAGGGTTAAACACGCGATTTTTCATGCTTAGAGCTGATTTCTACAGTTCACCTTTCGAGTGACCCAAACATTATTATGTTCGGGTACAAACCGCGTCGACTGTCTACGATCTAATGTAAAAACAAGAAGCGTGGGAACAGTTAAAGTTCATTGGCTGACTGATTAAATTCAATTATCTTTGGTAAACAATACTGCTACGATAACAGTGCGCATGGTATTAATTTCACGATCAGAAAGGTGAATCTTATGTTTGTTTTCGTTGTAG